GGGGGGTGTCGAGCGACTGCGGGGGGGCCCTGTGGCGTCGTAGCGAGGCTCGGTGACGTCATAGGCAGCGCCGTGAGGGGAGCAGGTGGCGGGGGGGGGCGGCAGGAGCCGCGGTGGTGGCCGGTGCGGGCCGAGCCTCAGCCGCTCGCCTCCCTGTCACGGCACGTCCCAAGCCAGAGCGGGTGAGGTCAGCGGGCCGATGGCTTCAGGGGGTGACATGGCTAGGTCGTAGCGCTGAGGAATAACTCTGAGATTTAGAGCGGTCCGCCTGTTTCGTGCAAGATGGGTTTTGTACCTGTCAAATTAACGAGCAAGGCTGTAATCGGAGAGGCGCGCAGTCGGCATTCGTAGAGCGAGGACACCCTGGAACAGTTAGGCCTTGATGTTTTGAGGGTGCTTCGTGTGCACTGCCAACTCGGCAAGAATGCTCGAGGTCCATCAGGGAGAAGAGAAACGCTCTTGAGATAACAAGGATAATCGGACCTAAGAAGCGTAGGATGTGACCAATAAAAGGAAGCATCCCGCTCCAGAAGGTGCCGAAGGCCGGATGATTGCTGAAGAAGCGTGAACTGGGGGAGAGGTAAAGGTGGCAGGGGGAGATGGTGACCTCCAACTCCATTCCAGGCTGGAAGAACTTGCCCCCCGCCCCACCTGCAAGGAACATGCGTGCTAATCTGCATAGCAAGCAAGGCTAATTTAAATGTAACTGGCCAATAGTAGATGAGATGGTGACTACTAACCAATGAACGTAAACTTACGTGGGTTTTTGCTAATCGTGTAACAGAATAAATACATCGTTTTTCTTCGGTGTGGTGTGCTAGCTTAGTGGAATTAACCACCTAGCACCCATCTTTGTGGAAATATGAAATGAATAATGTCTTTCCCAAGTGTGTGATTATTGGCTCATTGCATGCTTTTTGGACAACAGTACTGCTGTGTTGGCAGAGCTATGGGAGATGGTCTTGAATTGTTGTGTTGAGACTGGAAGGGGCCTGGAGAATCACCTGCCCCACACCTTCTGACCAACCTTTGGTTAGAACCCCCTCAATGGCTTGTCCTGCAACTCCTTCCACCTTGTCCTGGTTTCAGCTGGGATAGAGTTAACTGTCTTCCTAGTAGCTGGTACAGTGCTGTGTTTTGAGTTCAGTATGCGAGGAATGTTGATAACACGCTGATGTTTCCAGTTGTTGCTCAGTAGTGTTTAGACTAATGTCAAGGATTTTTCAGCTTCTCATGCCCAGCCAGCGAGAAAGCTGGAGGGGCACAAGAAGTTGGCACAGGACACAGCCAGAACAGCTGACCCAAACTGGCCAACAGGGTATTCCATACCATGGGACGTCCCATCTAGTATAGGAACTGGGAAGTGGAGGGGGAATCGCCGCTTGGGGACTAGCTGGATGTCTGTTGGTGGGTGGTGAGCAATTGCACTGTGCATCATTTGTACATTCCAATCCTTTCATTATTGCTGTTGTCATTTTATTAGTGTTATCATTATTGTTATTAGTTTCTTCTTTTCTGTTCTATTAAACCATTCTTATCTCAACCCGCGGGTTTTGCTTCTTTTTTTCCCGATTTTCTCTCCCATCCCACTGGGTGGGTGGGAAGTGAGTGAGTGGCTGCGTGGTGCTTAGTTGCTGGCTGGGGTTAAACCATGACACAGCTGCATTCATGCATTGCTAATGCTGCTGCTTGTTTCCCCTCAGCTCACATGCCAATTAAAGCTGGGCTAATGATCTGTGGGTGTCGAGTCCTGGTGTGAGGGAGTTAGTATCTTCCACCAGTGTGCTTTGCAGGAGCACAGCAGCTTGGAGAAGACCTCTCCTTTCACATGAGCAGCAGCTACTGGAAGCTGGGGGTCACATCACTTCTGTTTATTTTTTATTCAGTCTTTCTTTTGAACAAGGTTGAAGTTGGAACTTTGCTTTTGGATGTGGATCAGTTTTAAAGTGGAGTGGGTTCTGGTGATTTGTCAAGATCTTCAAGAGCCTATGGGAAGAATGAGCTCAAAGGAAGGAAAATTAAGCATGGGGCCATCTTTCAGAGGTCGGTGTGGAGGGGAGATTAGTTAAAGCTTGACTGTGACTGAAGTGTTTGATATTACAGGTGCTTACCAGCTGCCTTTGCACTGTCCTACTGGGACTAAAAACATACCTGTGAGGCTTCGCGCAGCAAGTTGCAGGTCTCTAGGATCTTGAGCTGTCTGGATCCCCGTAGCTGGGAATCACCTGGGATTTTGTGCTTACGCAAACTCACCAGTCTGGTGGAGGCTGGATGAGCAGAGTGATGTAACTTTACTTTTCAGGAATTTTACCAGAAAAGCTTTATTTATTAAAAAATACCTTGTTAAACTACCTGGTTAAAGATAGAAGGTGTGTTGGATCTTAGCAGGAGTTGTGAAAACATTGCATTTATTTTGCTGAACACTTCGTTGCCAGCTGCAAAGCACAGCTGCCTCCAGCACTGCATGTTCCAGTAAACATCGCTTATCCATCCTGTAAAGTTAAATCAGGCTAAATTATTATGTTTCATCGAACTGTGCAGGTGGATGTGTGCAGCAATACCTATTTTGAGTGCTCGGCTAGATCTTTTTTTCCTTAACGTCACAGTTTACCTTCAGGCTCGATGGATATTGATGCTCATGTTGGGAGAAGGTAGTATCTCGGCATACTGCTGCCGGGTAGATGAGGTACGCTGGAGGTCTGTGTTGACTGTGGAGCTGGTGAAGCTTGCAAGCAGGAGTCACAGTGAAGATGGGCAGAGGCAAAGGTAGTTGCAGAGTTAGTGCTTTAGTATGTTATGCTGCTGAGTAAGGCAGCTGAGACCTCCAGAAATGCCCAACAGCGCATCATTTCTCTTATAGTCATGTGGAGGCTGGATATTGACATCTCTATCATCCTCGGTTGCTTGGCTTACACGGATAAGTATTTTGCTGTAGGCAGTAAGTGACTGGCAGCTGGGTCTGAGCCAGCTTGGGTTGTGAACCAGCTGGCTCCAAACATGAGCTGTTGCACTGTGGAGCCTAACGGAGGACTGTTCTCGTTATCGTGGTGACTTGGGGGTGCACTGGTGGTTCTTGGTGCTGTGGTAATGTGGGTGCTCTGACTGATCTGTGGAAGGGGATGCTGCTTTTCTGGTCTATCAGAAAGCTCTGGGAAAGTGGTGATGCACAAGATGGAAGTTCTCCCAGCAAACTCGGGCTACCAAACTTCAGGAGCTGAAGTAGATCAGCATTTTGTTTGTGGCCGCTCCTTTTTACATTCATATAAAACCCTGTCTATGCAGAGACCTTGTTATTTACACTCTAGGTGAGTCTTTGAGCATGTTGGACCTGGGGGAAGATAGCGATCTGCCTGCCTGAAGAGCCATTATTAATAATAAAATATTTAAGATGGCAATTTGCATTTCAGCAGCACCTTTAATTCATGGCTCTCCAAATGCTTTACAGACAGTGATTAACATAACCTCACAACAACCCTGTGAGGTAGGTGGATCTGATCATCCCCACCACAGTGGGGACAATGAGGGAACCAAGGATAAGGGGTGTGGAGCAGTTGTGCTGGGACTTGACCTAGCACTTGGCCATTTAAGTCCCCTTAGGCCTTCAGCTTCAGATCATGCTTTTGTAATGCACGGGTTTGACTCAACGTGGGGCTATACTGATTAATGAGCCTGTGACTGGCTGGAACAGACTATAAAGGCCATTAATCTAAGGCAGCAGTTTATTAGCGAAGTAGATGGTGCCTTGGTGCTTCTTGCTGCTGGAATAATCTGAATGTTTGAAGGCATATAAAAATAGAGTTAGATATCAACCATTGAGCATGGCAGGCTGTAACTGGAGAAAGCCCTTAGACCCCAAGTGGCGAAGCTATGTGGGATGCTACTATAAATGTATTGATCAGAAAGGACATAATAATTTATACATAAAGTCCACCCTTGCTCTTTCCCCAAAGGAAAAAAAAAAAAAAAGAACCTACAAAGTCACTGCTGGTTGTCATGTGTCAGCTTCAAGTTCTGGGCCCTTGACTTCATAGCACCTGCAAAAGGAACAAAACGTGGTGCATCAGCAGCCTGTTTGGGCTGGCAAAATGAGTTAAGCAATGCGTTCTCTCAAACTCAGTCCCAGCTTTAAAATGACTGAAAATGATGTGAATTACTCATGTTGAATGGACCTGAGAGCACTGAGAGGAATGTGCTTCAACATCACCTGTGGAGCAGGAGTGGGTAAGCTTGGACTAGAGGGCGAGACCTTGATTTCTCAAGGCTAGCTTATTTACCTCTTCATTTAATGACAAACCACTCCAGCTTTGATGTCTGGCCCTAGGTGATGGCACATATATACATGAGGTATACTTGACAACTTGAGTTCAGGCAGCTTGGTTAAACCTGAGATAGGCACCCAAACTTTTTGCCAGGCTCACTGGAACCAGTTTGGACCTTTAGGAGTTTGATGGCAGCTGGTTTTTATTATCTTTCTGAAGGAATAAGAAAGCAAAGAAATACCTCAAAGGTATGCTCTTATCCAGCAAGAGAAATAATCCCCAGCTAACTCTTTAAAAAGCAAGGCTTAAAAGGGAAACCTTTTCTGACAGCGGGTAACTCATGCTGTTGTTCATGTTGATGTTCTTCATGGAGATCAGAGTGATGCTGTTGTCCTTCTGGCTTGTGCCTGCTGAGCAGCTGTCAAGAAGAGAAGGCAGTATTAACTACTCTGGAAAATGGGAGAGGGAAGTTTCTTTTTACACAACTGGAGGCAAACAGCCAAGGCTGAGGCTGGCTAGTACGCAAGACCAGGGTTGACTTGTGCTGTCCTTTGAGCTGCTGTCCTGATTCAGGCCCATCCTTAGTGCTAAATTCCCCATCACCTGTCTGAACACAGGTTTGGAGGTCTCTGGTGAAACATGCAGTGTGTTCAGACAAATTCGGATGCGGTGCTGGTTTGCGCGATAGAAAGCACCATTGTCACCTGTGTCACTACTTGTAGGCAGAATCAAGGAGCAGTTTGGATCTGGTTCTCAGTGATGGAATTACCTTCTAGCCCTGCAGCCATTACCAGAACTGGAACAAAAGGAAACATTACCGTGTCCCTCTGTCCTATGCCCTTAAGTTTATTTGTCATTCAAAGGGAGCCCTGGATATTTTTACATCTGATGCTGCTGCTCACGTATTGTCAGGGTCTCTCTTAAGAGTGAGAGTTACAAGTGTTAGGAAGGTGAAATTCCCCTTTCTCCCTACCCTGAGGGCTGGGATATGCATTTAGTGCCAGTGGAGACTGGATGACCTTGAGGATTAGGGTGCCTTCAGGGGGCACAGTCCTCTGCACTGATATGTCCTGCCTCAGTGGCTGCAGATCACTTAGATCATGCTCATTAAGGGTATTTGGGAACCATTGATGCTGATTCAAATTTGACACCTAAATACTTAGGGACATTGCTTCCTGTGTACCTTGCCTGTTTCCAAAGCAGGGTTTATTACTTCAGTAGGAAACTATCAGATGAAAAAAGTAGGAGCAACGTGTTTTGTTCCCTTCTAGCTCTTGTTTCCTGCAGCTTTCCCACATGCAGCCTCTCTTCTTGGGCAGCAGCGATGGACCGTGGGGTTCGGATGGACCATCCTCCACTTGGTATTTCTCTTCCAAAGGTCTCTGGACTGGGCCCTCCTTATCCTGCTCTTGCTAGATAATGGTAATAGGTTTCTTGGAAGATATTTCTGGGGACCTGATCTCATCTCACTGAGGCTGCTCTGAGATTCAGAAGCCCAAGTTTAGACCTCAAGTCTGGATCTAGGCAAAGACAGACAAGCAAACTGCTTTTGGAAGGTGATGAGTCTTCACAGATATCAGTGCAGCTTTGAAATGAGGCCCCTAAATATTGAACTGCTACCTTTGACTCCATCAGGAAGAGGTTCTATCAGTGCTCATTTTGTTTTTTTACCTGTCTCAAAGACATCTTGAAATGCTTCCACCTGAAATAACCAAAGCAGCCTCTTTTCCTTGCTAAAATTAGTTCTGAAATAAAATTGTCATTTTCAATAGGATGTGAATAGTGTGAGCAGCCTTACCTCTCTGATACCATGGAGGTCCCTGGTTTCTGTTTGTCTGGAGGGAGAAAGGCAGTTGGTGATGTACAGGTGAGAAAACATCACAGCCAAGCAATAAAATAAGTCAACTATATTCAGAAATACGTTGTACAGGGTTATAAATGAAATCCAAATGAGATTAGAGACACCACGGGCGATACTTGAGAGTTGATTAGAGAAAATTCTTCAACTAACGTGACATACAGGCAGGACTGAATGCTTTGCTGCCTGTTTAGTCACTAGCATCCTTTGGTTTTTTGGCAGTTACCTGCCTTGCTGTAGAGCAGCCTTGCCCTCTAGTGGGCACTGCTTAGTGGGAAATGGGGTTCTTGGGGAAAAGGAGTGTGAAACTCCATGACTTCTGGAAGAGCTGCCCACCTTTGGAAATCTGCACATTTAACTGCAGCAAACTTGAGACTATTTCCCTGTGTAGATGGGGGCTCTAAAGAGGTGGTCATGCTACATTCCTAACTGCTGAGTCTGCGTTCTAGTTTGGCTTCAAAACCTCCCCACTGTCTAAGCTTTTTAAAAGTGTCTTTTAGGAATTGCCAGATCCAGGTAGAAACTGATGATTTTTTTGATTAGGGAAAGACAGATCACCCCAGGCAAATACCTTCTGAGTCCTTTGAGTGGTTACACTTGAATCTCAGGCTGACCGCGCTGACCAGAATGATCACAACCACTATCAGGATAACTATGAAGCTGATGACACCTGGGGATGGAGGAAAGAACTGTCTGCAATTGATATAACAATGTGCCTGTCCTCCTCGGCTTCTGAGGTAGTGGAGAGACTTTGTCATCAAAACTTGGCTAGGAAATCTGTATTTTCATTAAAATGAGCATGGCACGTGATAGGCAGAGAAGTAAATAGTCACTAGAGCAAATGGCTTTATACTGTTGTGTTTTAGCCTTAAAGGTCTTCTGATGAATACTTAATTGGTAAGGCAGTGCCAGGAGGGCAGAAGTCAGCTGATTACACTGGGGATTGATTGAAGTCAGTATGTCCTTACTACAGTTGGTAAATCTTACCCTAAAAGTGCATAAAGTCAGATAAATGTCTAATGTAATGGGGAGAGACAAGCTAAAGTGTGTGAACAATGTTATCTGTCTCATAAACCAGTGGCCAAGTGCAGATTTGATTCTGACATCAGGCCTCAATAAATCAAACTATTCTTTGCACGGGAATCTTGTCCTGAAAGATTGCTTCAGGACTTCTTGTGGCTTCCCTTGGAGGTTGTAAACAAATGATACTTATGAAATTAACACTTGACTTTTAAAAATGCTTCTGAAATAACACTGTTTCCTACAGTGTGATAAGAATGAGCGAACTGGTTTTTTTTGCTTGTCTTCATGGAGGAGGGGGACAGTATAGCCCAAGGCAGAGTGGGTGTCTAAATCTACCCTGTGCCTATTTTCAAATCTATTGCCAGGTTAAGGTATGGCATCTCTTGCTCCATCCTTCCACAGTCTGAAGGATGCAGAGGACTCAGCTGCTTCCTGCCAGTCAGGGTGCAAGTGTAACAGGGGAGAGCAGTAAGGCAGGGTGGGAATGCAGTCCTAACAGGTTTGCAGGGGAAAAAAAAATGTCTAAGCTTCCAGGCGGGTAGCTTATTCTAGACATTATCAGGGAAACAAAGGCATAGCATGGGATCATTTGTGCCCAGGTCTTGTCCTGACATGGAGCTGGGGCAAACACTGGTGCTGGGAGCAAGAGCCCAAGCTCAGGTGTAGCCATGATGGACTTTCAAATTGTCTGTCCCTTGTATACTGGACATGGCTGGGAGTATCTGTTAGGTGCTTTATTGCCTGCTGGTGATGAGTCTTTTTCTCAAGGGTTTTTCCTTGCACTCTGAAAACTCCAGGATCAGGCATGCTGAAGAAGAAAACTGTGGAGCCATCTCCAGGGAAGAAGTCTTTGAAGCTGGGTGTCCAAAACAGTGTGGCCTGGCAAAACAGATCCCCTTCCTCTCCCCAGGTTGCACAAGACCTTACCAAAAGCTGCCACCGTCAGTGGTGATTTATCATCTGTTGGAGTGGGCACAGGCAAGTAGTCAGAGGGCTTCGGTGTTGGGGTGACTGGCTTTGAGGTGCCTACAAGAGGGGAAAAAGGTAGCTTTATATAAAAGTCTTTCTTCCAAAGTTGGGAAGAGGATTCCTAGTAATGCTAGAGGACCTAACTTGCACTTGCACTTTATTGAAGAGAATAACGTTGGATCCTGGCCACCCCCATCAATGTTAACAGCCAAGTGTCCAAGACCTATGTGGGAATCAGATTGCCTTGGCGTGGCCCATTTTATCAACAGTCTGAGAAGACCCATAGGGTTTTCTGCTGGGGCCCTAGTGACAAAACTGAGCGTGGCAGGTGAAGGACTGATCTGGCAGTGTGTTTGAGGGCGAGGCTTATCCTTTCTCCCCCATTTTACAAGCTTTTGCCATAGTGGCACCTTTCCTGCTGTGACTCACAACCACTGTTCCCAGGCTCAACAAGTTTCCCCGAAGTGTTTAACAGGTTTTTCAAGGGCTAGATGGGATGGCTAGCATCTCTCAGGTACTCGTTGTCCATTCACCGTGCTGCCTTGAAGACAGCAGTATGATGGCCTTGCTGTTGGCTGTGAAAAGGGCTGTAAAGCATCTTGAGATAACCATCTCTTTGCATGAGAAAGGAGAAAGCACCTTGAGTTGCTGATGCTGTGGTATTCTTGCTTCTCTTGGGCTCGTGACCTGCATAGAGAAACACAGAATGTAAGTTTTGTCTTTTAGTGTCATCTAATAACCAAAAGAATTAATGGGCATGCTGGAGAGGAGAATGGCTTCACAATAATGCTGGTGATATCTGGGGAAACATGGAATTCTTACTTGGGCTAAAACCTTCCCACCAAACATACTTTGTACTATTTTCCATGTCCAAATAGAAACTTGGGAAACCAAAATTCAAATACCCTTGTATAAACTGTTCAGGTTCTGCAGTCCCAGATGCAGTTTTTGGGCAGATACAGCAATTGAATACCGGAAGAGTGAAATGGGAAGGTTATAGATTTGCTATTGCTCGTAAATGTTGAGACTTCAAAAAAAAAACTGCTTAGGGGGAGAAATTCTGCAGAATATGGGTGTGGATTGACTGTTTGGCTTGTCCTTGGAGTTGGAATTAGTGGGTATGCTGTCCTGGGTTATCTAGAAGTAATTAAGCTAGTTTGAGTTGGGCTAACTTGCACACCATATGTAGTCTAGCTGTGGGAGTGTAGAGGTTTGTTTGAGCAAGGACTCCAGTTCTCAGTGGGATGAACTGGCTTATATGAAGCTGTTTGGTTTGTGACAGCTACTTCCAATGCCCGTGCAAGCAAATTTAAAGCTAGCCTGTGGGTTTCACTTGTACAGAGAAAAAAACCCCTTTGCTGCCTCCTGGACGTGTGTTGAACGTCCAGATTATCTGCATTGACCTTAGTGAAGAGCTACAGGCCCTGCTGGGAGACTAAAAGTGATACTTTAGAGCTTCAGAAGATCATCTGTAGGTCAAGTAAGATCTTCTTTCCTCCCTTCCCATCCCCACCTTCCCAATAGCAGTGTGGGCCAAAAGTATGTGCTGCCTGGAGAAGTGTGAAACAGCTCCTGGCACTCTGCAGTGGACCGCAGGGCGTGCAGCTGAAACTGGGGTTTCTGTTTTGCAGAAAACATCCCTGTTTTGGAATGTAATTTTGCCAAAAGTCAGAAGAAAAAGGGGAAACAGTCTGAAATAACAAATCTAACTGGTTCAGAAATGGGTAACCACACCTGAGAAGCAGGACTACTGCTGTGCAATTTTTTCCACCAGTCATCAAACCCTTTGTTTCATTCTGAAATTGTTCTAGCCACAGGCGGTGGGCAGAAGCTGTGGTTTGCTGAGCCTGGCATGGATACCCTATCCCTGGGAAATGTTGGGTCTCACACAACAGGAGACTTTCCTTTTGGAAGCATCAGCAACACTTCTGTAGTCAAAGATGTATGGAGCTTTTCAGATATAAAGCAGGGTTATAATTAATAGCAATCTGCTCTGATGCAAAAGGCTCTTGGCTTAGCTGGGCACAGGCATGCTGGCTGGACATCTGTGCAGGCAGAGCTGAGCACGGGTTTTTAACCTTGCTTGCATTCGAGAAGATCTGAGAGGTACTTGGAGAGGCAGAGCAGTTTCTGTCTTGACCATTACAGATTTTTGAGGCTGAATCTTTAGTGGGGAATCAGCTCAGTTCTCAGATTTCAGTCTTCCAACTCTCTTGGATTCTGCCCTTATTCTGATAAAACTCTTACTGAATTCTCCAATTTTTGCTTACAGGCTGAGCTAAGCAAACTGTCAAAAGCCAAAAAAAATTTTTTTAAAGGATGTTAAAGGGCTCCCTTTTCCTAAACATAGATCAGTCTTTCAACCGTTCAAGTTCATCCCAGGCAGAGGATGTTAAGTGCATTTGGTCCTGTGTTTCATCACTGCTTGTAAGGTTACCAGACATGATTTTTGGTGTTACTGATAGCTCAACCCCCAAGATGAAGACTAGTTGTTGTGGTTTAACCCCAGCCAGCAGCTAAGCACTATGCAGCTGCTCGCTCACTTCTCTCCCACCCAGTGGGGTGGGGGAGAGAATCAGGAAAAAAAAGTAAAACTCATGAGTTGAGATAAGAACAGTTTAATAGGACAGAAAGGAAGAAAATAATAATAATGATTATGATAATAATAAAATGACAATAATAATAATAATAAAAGAATGGAATATACAAACCAAGTGATGCACAATGCAATTGCTCACCACTCACTGACCGATGGCCAGTTAGTTCCTGAGCAGCGATCCCACCCCCTGGCCAACTCACCCCAGTGTATATACTGGACATGATGTCACATGGTATGGAATATCCCTTCGGCCACTTTGGGTCAGCTGCCCTGGCTGTGTCCCCTCCCAACTTCTTGTGCCCCTCCAGCCTTCTTGCTGGCTGGGCATGAGAAGCTCAAAAATTCTTGACTTAGTATAAACATGACTTAACACAGTGATGTTTTCAGCTGTTGCTATCAACATTCTTCTCATACTGAATCCAAACCATAACACTATACCAGCTACTAGAAAAAAAATTAACTCTATCCCAGCTGAAACCAGGACACCAGTGGTTAGATAACCTGCACCATGTGAACCAAGTAAGCTAATTGCCATGAAATTATCTAAACTCATTGTTACTCTATAAAAGGACAAAGTACCTTGAAGTGGTGAAGCTGCTGTGCTTCTGCTTCCACTGGACTTTTCATCTGGATAAAGAAAACAAGGGAAAGGAGAATTAACTCTTGACGCTGCTACTAACTGTGCTATGGAGAGCTGTGGGGTTTCCATGGGGTAAAAAACTTTGCATGAGACTTCCCCTCCAAACAAACATCAAGATGTCCAACTAGCAAGCTGTGCAGTTAATTAGAGAGTGTACAGGAGAGGTGAGCTTGGGAGAGGTCTGCTGGGGAGGCTGTGGTGCCTATAGCTCCTCCACAAACCATTACCTGGTAAAGCATGAACTGGCTTTTCTGATATGGGCTTGCTGTGCAGATGCCACATCTAGGTCATGGTTGTGTCCAGCCCTGTGCTTCTGAGGAGCTGGAATGAGCTGCTCTTTTAGCAAAGACTCAAAGAGATTCAAAAGTTGCTGCTACTGAGTAAGTAGCAGGGCATGGACTAGCCCAGTCTTTCTGATGCCCCCCAGTTTTGCTTGGATAAGGAGGGATGCATGAACAGGTCCTGCCTGAGCAAAAATTTGAGTTTTCCATACTTACCTTGCACAGTCAATGCTAGCGGTGTTGTAGTGATGGAAGAGGATTTGGCTGTAGTAGTTTGACCCACAGAGGAGAGATTCAAGTGGGTTGTTGGTGGTGATTTTACTGAAGGCTCTGTAGAGGAAGCATAGCGTTACTTCAGAGAGCTCTGCTCACCCCATGCACTGCTCAAAAACAGCTTGGAGGAGGGCATGGCTATTGGAAAGAGTCCTCACACTCCTTGGGACTTATGGATAATCTGCTAGGGAAAGCAGAGGCATAAGTAGACAAAGAAATAGCCTTCGTCCTGCTCAGAGTCAGGGAGCCTTTGTGCTTCGGTATTAGCTTTTGCTTTTTTTAGTGTACAGAGGTGATGAGCTGGCAGAGCTCAGGAGACATATGGAGAAAGTCTGCTTTTTGCCCCCACTTTTTTCCTGCTTTGAAAATGAAGGTGTTTTTGTCACTGGACATTTTAACTGCCTAGAGCTGCCTGGCACCCACGTGTGTGTTTGCTCATTATCTGAAATGCTGACTTTTATTTCACTGAGAGTCTCTAAGCACAAATAATTCAGTTCTTGCAGTGGTCTGGAGGCTCTGTCATCTTCCTCAACCTGCTACGCAAAGCTGCATAGCAAGAACATGATCCAGAGCAAGATGTGGGGCAAAAAGCTTTCAACAAGCCCTCTGCAAGGAACTGTAGATCACCAGCTTGGAATTTACAGGCAAGTTCCTTGTCTAGACTTCAACTGGCTTTCCAATAAAAATGAGAAAAGAGTGAAAATGGTAAGGTCAGGGTTTTTTTTCCCCTTTTGCCCAAATGCTTCACCAAAATATTCAAATTTAGGAGTAAGTTTCTTTTTTCTGCAAGGCATGGAAGCAGAATCTGAGATCTTTTTGAGATGTTTTTCGTTTATATTTTTGGGGTCCCTTAAGAGGGGTAGCTATGCTTAGAAAGATTTCCCTCCCCCAACTATAGCAGGAAGAGATCTGTCTCCAGAGATCCAAGTGGACTAACAGATGTGGATCTGGAGTTGGAGAGGTCTCTTCTTGTGTATTTGGTTTTGTGTATTTTCAGACTGAAACATGTAACTTTCTGCTAACACCTGCCTATGTCCAATTAGTAGGAGGGTTTCTGCATGACCATGTACATGTGGTAGTGTCCTGTAGCTGGTTTCAGCAGAGGGGGAGAACAGAAAAAGGAGAATAAATTAAGGGAGCTCCTCAGCAGTTCATATTACTTTTAAATATTCTTTTGTCCTTATGAGTGATTGCTGTTTCCATGAAGGCAGATAACAAAGCAAAACCCCCAACATGAATAACTGAATTAGAGCTAAGGCAGTGTTCAGTCCCTGTGCCAACACAAACATTGTACAGTTTAGGACAAGCCTCTTCGTCCTTCCCCTTTTCCTCTTGGAGAAATGGGGAACATGTTGACCTGTTGTATGGGAGGCACTGAGGGTGTGCAAAGCACTGGAAGTTTTTAGTTAAAAAAAGAAAATGCAGTCAGGCTTGTTGAGAGAGCAGTATTGAACAGCAAATGTAATGCAGGGAAGCTCTTACAACAATGATTTCATTGCTGTTCTTCTGTCACAACACCAAGAGCCAAGGCCAGACCTGGTGTGCGAGGCACTGTGCTTGCACGTACTGCTCACACCCGACGGTCCTTGCACGGAAGAGCTGCCAAGCAAAGCGGGTGATGCCGGGTAGGAGGGTGCGGCAAAGCAGACACTGCCCAGGCTGGCTGCTGGGCTCTGGGCAGTCGTGTCCTTTGTGCAAAGCCCAGGGTTTTCCCTGGGTTTTGACCTGCTGACTCTGCTTCTCCCTATTCAATTTAGTGATTTTTCCCTGTTCTTGCTCACCTCCATGGCTTGATCCCTCTGGGGTGAGCTGGGTGGATCAGAAGCCCTTACACCACAAAATTTCCTTCTTCCCAACACTGTTCTCATCTAACCTATCACCACATAGCCCAGTTTATCACTAGGTGGCCCAGCTAGACTGAAGTCAGACCAGTTACAAGCCAGGATGTCCCTGAGCTGTACTTTTAGGTCTCCAGATGAGCATTACCTGAGGTATGGTCCTTTACTTCAGGGCTGTGTGTTGTTGATTGGGATTGACCTGTAACACAAGCAGAGAGACATGGAGGTGACGTCTCCTACACATGCTCCTTGTTGGTGGCATCCCCACAGGAAGGGTTGAAGGATGGGCCAGAAAGGGGCCATTGTAGCCAATGAGAGCTGAAAGGGTGATGGGGGCAAGAGATGCTCAGGAGAGGGTTTGTCACCGGTGTGGGTATAGGGACCTGTGGGCAAAGGGACCTTGGCTCTGAGGATCCATGGAGGAGAGCATGTTAACTGGTAGGAAACAGCTGGGGAAAATGGGGAGCAAAGATGAGGCAGGATTCCTCTGCTTTCGCTAGGCTTCCCAGAACACCACATTGCTCTCTTCCAGACAAAAAAGGGAACCAAGCAAGGTCATCTTCTGGGGCACAGTGACCTCTGGAGATCTGGGGCTGAATGATGATAGATGGGGCAGGCAGAGGTGGGCAATGCAGGCTCCTGGGAGAAGGTGCTTCAGCGGATGTGAATTTTGAATCTGGTTCCCATTTGTGGGCTCTCCATTTGCATCCCCACATGGGCATGTGCATCCACATCCAAATAGACATGCAAAGCAGATCACAACCAAGGAGGTACCTGTTACAGCAGGGACAGAAGAGTCTGTGGAGGTTGTAGTACCTGAAATGAAAGAATAAGAGTATTAGTGGTGCTAATCTGTGACTGTCACTAATGCATTGCTGTTCTTGCTGGTTTTGTGGTTTGGGTTTTCCTCATCTTCTGTAGGAATGACTTTGAAATACATGATTTCCCCAAAAGCATTAGCAAAGAAGTAGTAGCAAACACTGAATGCAAAACTATCAGGTTCTGAGTAAATTAGTACTGGAGTTTATTCAGCCAGGATAAATGCCGCGCTCTCGAGATGGAGTTGAACCCTGCACAGAGCCGTCTTCCTCTCTGACAGGGAATATGCAAGGCCATACGAACCAGTGGGGTCATTCCTTCCCCATGACCTGTTTGCCTCCAGCTCAGTCTTGGTGGAGAAAGATCATTTGACCTGTATTGCAGAGCCGTTTAAAGAGTTAAGATACACACTTGATAAGGTTTGTAAAGGCTTCCAGAAGCCGATGGGACTGTTTTTCCTTCCTGTCTCCTACCTCTGATCCTTCTATCCTGTGTATTTGTATCCTGGGAAGCTGGCTGAAGCCTTGTGGCCATGTAAGTCTGGACCCAGCAACGGGGCTGCAGCTTGGGGACCGACTTGGAGCTGCCTTCCCTGGTAGCGGTGGGTAGTCCTGTAGGTCCATGCAAGGCTTTGCTCTCCCAGGATTGCAGGTGTTGCACTGAGGCCCTAGTTTCTCAACTGAAAGGTGTTTCTGTTTGTTTTTTTTGTTTGTTTGTTTTATGACAAAGCATCCCTGCACCAATCCCCCATGTTGCCTACTCTCAGGATCCCTGGTATTTTTCTTTAAGCCCCAGCTCCTGGAGTCCTATGATTAGATGAGATGCCAATTTAAACTGCCATTTAAAGCAGAAAAAAGAAATGTCCAGTTCCCATATTTGGGGACAAGAACTCGAAAATGTAAATGCCCTTTAGACACTCAAATCAAACCCAACTGGTTTAACTTTGAAAAGGTGACTTTGAGTCTGTTGTTTTGGAAATCCACATCCAAATTGGTATCTTTAAATGGTTATCGATGGTAATCCTGGTGCTGCCTGTAGTTAAGATTAATGAAAGACACTACATTACAGCTACAGGAACCAGCTGAATCTGATCCCACCAGTGATCCATCTCACTGGAGTCCCACGAGGGCTAAAGGTTTCAGACAAAAAGGGACAGTAAAGGTTGAGTCCTTCCAGCTCGCTGTCCCCTTGTAATGCTGCGTAACTCCATTGCAGCAGTGGTCTGTGGTGAGGTGCAGTGCCTTTGCAGGATGCTGTGCCTCGTGGGGTGGCAGGAGGGGAGGTCCAGCAACGCAGCACTAGCCAGAGCAGAGCAGTGCTTGTGTGCCCATTTACAGCCAGAATCCGTCCTCCCTGTATGCAAGATTCATCTCATGTGCCACTTTACATCTCTCATGAACCAGCCTGCAAGAGAGCTCATCTCCAGGCTCTCTTTCTCACCAAAGAGAGGACCGGGCACTTCTAAAACCCTATTGCTCTGACCTGTTTCAGATCTCTACCTTACCTTACCTATTTCAGATTTCTACCATGCTCTAGCTGTGGCTAGAGGAGCCACAGCCTGCAACATCCCGTTTCTTACCAGGAGCTGTAGAGGTGATGTAGGTGATGAACTTTGTGGTAGGTACCTATGCTGTAGGTGTCTGAAAGAGGTCAGATGAATGCTCTGATAGCGGTGTGTATCTGCAATGAGATCTTTAGCATCCAGTGTATGTGATCAGGGCTTGGCTCAGAGCTCACCCCTTGGGACCGTCTGGGTGTAACGAGCTCCTGATTGATCTCATTTTTCTCACGTAACTGCGTTGGAGTCATAATTGTTTTTTTGTCTGAGGATTTATGACAATGATCCCAGCCAAACAGGAACCAAAACAGTGTGTCAACCACGGTGAATACATAATAAAACGTGGTCTCTTTCCAGATAGGATTTGGCTGTGAAAATCAAATCTGACTTTTCAGATCTTTTCCATGATTTCCTCTTCTACCTTACTGGGCAGCAGGCTGGCAAAACTGTCTTGTTTAGTCCATGAAAGAGTAGACATGATCAGATCTTTAATTACATAGAGAGGAAGGGACTAAGTGGTTTTCTAAATCCATTGGGAACAGGACCAGAAAACAAGGACTTTTAACTGCAGCAAGGAAAAGGGAGGCTGGGCAATAGGAAACTGCCTTAACATAAGGATAGTGAGTTGCTAGGAGTGATTGTGTAAGGAGGATTATGGGATATCCTTGTCTGCAGGCTTTGAAGAGCTGGTTAAATGAGCATCAGTCTAGTAACATAGACAGGATTATGGACAGATGTAACATCACTTACTAAATCAACTAATATAATGAAAAAAAATATCTTTTGGGCACATGGTTGCCCTTCTTAAAGAGGTAGAGATGCTTCTTTTGAGGAAGGGTGGTGCGCCCCTTTGCACCCTTGTTGCCTGGGATGCTGTGGGGCACTGCCTGCTCCCTGGGGGCCCAGCTGACTCCATGGAGAGCGTGTGGTGACTCGGGCTGTTTCCATTGATCCTAAGAGTTTGCCAAGTTTTCTCTTTGTCTGGGCTTCCTCTGCTTAAACAGCTTTACAATACAATTTCTGGACGTTGGTTTGCAAATGCCTTAAGATACTCTATACATTCAGCACAAAAAATAGTGTGCTGAGATCATCATGGGGGCCAATATCCTCTAGCAGCTGCCAAGCTCAAACAGCTTCTCTTTTTCCAAAATCACCTTGCAGAAGCCATTGTCTTATTTTCCCGTGGGGAGAAGTAGCTGCTTGTAACACATGTTCTTGAAATTATCACAGGTGCTTTTTAGTGTACATGGCACATGAAAGCATTGAGAGTTGCTGAAGAAAGAGCTGTTGTCTACACTTAGTCTTTGTCAAAGGAAAAGGGGGGTGAAGGTGCTGAGCTGGCAGTTTATTCCAGTGGTTTTGGTGCAGCTGAGGAGAAATCTGAGAGCTTGAACAGAGCCTCTAGGGACAGGAGGAAGCTGAGAGCAAGGGAGATGCCATCGCCCTGTACTGCCATCCCCGTTGGGACCATCCCATGGGCTAGCTCCAGTATGCCCAGCGCTGGGGCAAGAGGAAGAGGATCATACTCCATGTTTTCTTCCACCCCAGCTCAGCCCTTCGCTGAAGGTCACACCAGAGCACTGGCTCATAAGGAGTTCTCCATTTGCAAAACTAAACCCTGGGGTTATTATAAATAAGATGAATAAGCAGGTTTTTTCCCAGTGCTCAGTCCCTGGAGTTCACCTGTCTAAGCAGATGCTCGCCCTGGTCTGCTGCATGTGAGCTTTGCTGCGGAGAAGTGACTGGTCTTGCTGTGAAAAGGCCAAGAGATGGCGATCCCCTTTTGGCACTTGGAATAAATGACCATGGCTTCTCTAAACACAACTGCATGTTTTTTCAAAGCAGGGCAGGTCTGGCTCTGACTTCTGGTCACTGCTGCTTGTTATGCCTTCCCGGCCAACTCAAATAATCAAAAGTCCTGTTATATTAGGTGTTTTCTTTTGGTGAAGGTGCTTAGCATCCAAGTTGAATTACACCGGAGGGGGACGGACGTGTGCGAAGCAGGAAGAAACCCAGGTCACATCGTGGGGCTGGGCAGCAGGATGGGTACAAACAAAAAAGTGCCACGCGTCGCGGCTCCCCGCAGACATCCCCGGGGGACTCTCATGCGAACGGTGCTGGACGCCGTTTCCTCCTGGTGCCACTGCCAGCACGGCCCTGCTCCCCTCCATGAAGGGCCCTGGCTGTATAAACAGCTAACAATAATAGTCAGGATGCAGCCAGTGCAGCTGTAATTGCAATAAACATCAAAGCCATTCAAATGACTCGCCATTGAGCGTAAGCACTGCCAAGATATTTGTTGCGTGTTTGGGTGCAAGTGATTTATAGCCAGATTGTGCAGTTCTAGGTGGAGATAGGGAGCTTGCTGAGGGATTTATGATGGGAGATAACGGCTTTCTGCTCTTGCTGTAATGGAAAACCCCTGATTACCCACCAGAGCCGTTGGGCTGCAGAGGAGCACGTCGGAGCTGCAGGTGCATTTCAGCTCTGACTCAGTGCTAGCTGCTTTTCGGTTAACTTTTCCAGAGGATGGAGCAGGGGGATTTTGGATTTCTGTTATTTGCAGTAGTTCTTTTGTGAGGTTAGATGTGAGTGTTAGACTAAGAGCAGAGGGGTCTTATCCATGGAGCCTTCTCTCACAGCAGCCGAGATGTTCCCAGAGCTCACTCCTTGGCACAAAAAGAGAATGATGCAAAACAAAAAAAGGTGAATTTTAGGTATTTCTGCTTTGGTATTATTTTTGGCAATAATTTAAAGAGTGGTTTCTCCAGCTGCTGACTAAAGAGAGGCACTGATATTTAAAAACCCCAAACTTTCCATCAGAGCCTCCGTATAGCAGCACTGCTATAGTAGAGACCTGCGCCAGTTGTCGGAAACACTTCAGCAGGGTTTAGATGAGGCTCCAGAAGGGCTCGTGCTGTCTGGTCTGTATTTGTAGAGGGACGGAGTCACAGGGGAGGATCTCTGGCACCAGTATGAAAGCCCAGGGACTGGGACTGGTCCTGTCCACCAGAACTGGTAATGGAGAGGGACTGTCTATCCCCGATGACATGTAACCCTGGACTCACTGGACTCTTCTCCTTCCCTGGCAGTTTTGGGGGGAGATGTGGTGATGTCCTACCTGTCCCCAGGTAGTGTGTTACACGGAAGGGAGCTGCAGAGCCCGCTTGGCATTGTGCAGCCTTGTTGTACCAACCTCGGCATCACCCTCTGCTTGCAGGTTGCATAAACAAATACTTTCAGAAAAGAGACCTAGCGATGTAAAATTAGACTTTTCAATTCCTATATTGGCATTTCTGTCAAACGACCCATGACAAAAATATACTGACTGCTTAACACAAATGCAGCTGTTTCCTGGGTGAAACGCAGCAGCTGCTGAAGCAGCAGAGAGCAACAACACCCAATTCTTAGGACGTTCACATGGAAAAAAATCCTGTAT